ACCAGTCCCAACCTATATTTTGAAATCATTAATATAAAATAAATGATAGTAAAAGCACAAGCAGAAAATAAATATAATACCAAGCATGTGGTGTTTGTGTCGTCACCACCGTAGAAATAGCAGCAGCACCGAATGTTGAAACTGAAATACCCCCCACCACCTGTATTAGCCGATGAATCCTAAGATGTTGATTATGATGCTATATATATAAAATAATAAATTTCAGTAATATAAATTTAACGTGACGGATAATGATATCTGATGAGATTCACGTGACCTTGAAACCCCATATAGTTTCGTCAACATATATAAAATCCGGGTTTTAACCGGTTTTATGTGAGGTAGGAAAAAAAAAAAAACAAACCTTCCAGTACCGCACAATAAATATTGATATTGGAAACAATATACTAAAAATTATATATCCATCAGATAATTATTTAGTAACGTAAAATATTCTGATATAATATCAGAGAAAAAATATTTTACCTACCACCATGTGAAGAACATTCCGCAACCATGAATTAATTTAACTATCCTTTGAAGATTGGATGTAGTTGCAGAACTAATTTGACTATTATAAAAGTTTATTCGATTCAACATGCGATTATTTTGGTGATAAGAGAAAGCATTACTATTTGGATTATATGCCATGATATCTAAAGTATAATAATAATTTATAAATAAATATTTTAGTTCAAGATTGTAAAATTTAAGACAGTATATACATATATTATAAAAGTACAGTATAACAAATAATATAAAATTAAATAACACACATTTCATATCACCATGCACAATTGGTTTTCTTCCTGGCGGATTGAGAGGTCTTTTGAACTCTACGGTCACAGCTTTGCTATCAGACATGGAAAATTTTGGTACAAGAGTGGGATCTTGATTAGAATCTCGAAGGGGTGGATGGTATCCACCTACATCAGCATGATAATTTCCTAATGTGACGTTTCCATTAGTGACCTTTAATAGAATAATATAAGTTTTTTTAGAAAATAATGATATGCCTTCCTTGTAAAATAAAATTACATGTTTTGAAAGAGACTTACAATGCCAATTATAAATTCAGCTCCTCTCATTCCATCATCATCCGGATTAAATCCCTGTAATATTATAATTAATAAACTAAAATTCAAAAATAAAAATAAGCATACAGTAAACTTACCATTCCAAACCAGCCATTGCCATCAGAAGTTTGTAGTTGAACCTTGAAATATAAATAGGTCAAATCTACTCTAAAACCAACAATATATTGACTCCAAACACTAATCTTGGTTGGATAATTATCATCATTACTATCGTTAAGTTTGATTTGAGGCTGGACGGACCAAATATTTTGAGGAAAGGTTACGCTGTTATTGATGTTACGAGTAATTATGTCTCGAAGTGTCGTGTTTCGTATGATTTTTCGTTCATTATCGGTAAACATATCAGATTTCTCAAACCAAAAACTATCAGAATCTCTAATATTCGTATACTTTAAAAAAAAAAAAAAATTTTACACGAATGAACAGTTAAAAAATTCACAAGCGAAAAACGAAGCATATAAAGATAATTACCTGCGTCACCATGCTCGCATTCATAACCATACCAAAGTTTGAACCGTTTAAATGATCTTCACTCATCACGCCAACCCACGATTCTACGGTTTCAATTCCTAAAATGAAAATAATATACATAAAATTGTCAACAAATAGTAAAATTTAAAAAATATAAAATGAAAGTTATTCACCATCTGGA